CCTAGCCTGCTTGATGGCCCATCAAGGACCATCAGCTATACAATGGACCCATTGAGAGAAGGCAGATACGCCTTGCAACTCAGCAAAGTATGCAGGGACTGGCCCATGTGACTCCAGACTCCATTTTGCTGTAATTTTCCACAGTAAGGACAAAGAGATGTTCTTACATCTGGAAAAGACTATAAAAGGCTGATGCCTCATCTCCATCTTGTCTTCAATCCTGCTTCTTACCTCTGGAGGGACTTTGCTACAAACAGAAGCTCTACACAAAGGACTGAGGATCCATCCTAGCTGGGGATGTATTCCAGACACTTGATTTGAACCTGCAGTTTATTCTATCGCTGCTGCAAGCCTGAACCAAGAACTTTGCCATTACTGTATGTAATTGATTCCATTTAACCAATTCTAGCTCTCATCTACATCTTTTTCCTTTTATGAATAAACCTTTAGATTTTAGATTCTAAAGGATTGGCAACAGCATGATTTGTGGGTAAGATCTGATTTGTATATTGACCTGGGCCTGGGGCTTGGTCCTTTGGGATCGAGAGAACCTTTATTTCTTTTACTGGGGTATTGGTTTTCATAACCATTTGTCCCCATAACAAGTGGCACTAGTGGTGATACTGGGAAACTGGAGTGTCTAAGGGAATTGCTTGTGTGACTTGTGGTTAGCCAGTGGGGTGAGACCAAAGTCCTCTTTGTCTGGCTGGTTTGGTTTGCCTTAGAGGTGGAAAAACCCCAGCCTTGGGCTGTAACTGCCCTGTTTGAGCAATTTGTCCTGAATTGGCACTCTCAGTTGGGTCCCGCCAGAACCGCATCGTTACACCCTGCTGTGTCATTTAGAGAGGACACTCTCATTTCCTGTCCTAAAACGACCCTGCTGTGAGCTATTAAACAGCTGTCACGTTTCAATCCTGGGTCAGATGAATCCTGCAGAGTCTCCAGAGGGTGTCAGGCTGCAAAGCAATCTAGAAGTGTCAGTTCTCACCAGCTGCTGAGGGATGGAAGGGGCCTCTGTGGTGGCTGTGCCAGCAGCTGCTCCACTTATACAAATCTGCTTCCTGCGGTGCCCTACCTTGGCCAGCATCCCAGCGTGCTGTGCAAAGGCAATGCAGCTGCAAGGAAACCTGGGTTCATTGCAGGATCTTGGTGTTTTATTTGCAGCAAGGGACATTTTTAGACCCTGATCCTGCACTTGCACACATGGTTAAAGGTAAACGTGTGGATGTTTGTAGGATCAAGGCCTTGGCATCTGCACTGCTTCAGTGGCCAGGGCTCCATTCTGAATATGGGTCTATTCCTGGCTCTGCCACTGCCTTGCTGGGTGAGCTTGCAGCTTGGCAAGTCATAGTCTCTCCCTGTGCCTCAGTTTCCCCATCTGTAACATGTGGATGACAATACTGACCTGCCATTGTAATGTTCATGGGTGGAAAATGCACAAGCATAACTGTGATTCTTTCTCTGCACTCTAAGCATCTGTGCAATGACTGGGTTAACTCAGTGCAACCGTGTGTAGACGCTCACTTCTGTTTCAGAGCACCTGACCCGCTGATTTCTTACTGAGTTAACCTACGGCACTGTAGAGCTCTCTTAACCAGAAACAAGACCGTCCGCACCAGGGCGTTGCATTGATTTACCTGCATCAGTTTCTAACCCGATTTAGTACAACGAGTACCATGTTCCCACACAGGCAAGGCCAGATTAGGACCGCGCCAGCTGAGCAGTGGCAGTTGCTGGAGAATCCCAGCAGGCCCTGCCAGTGGAGCATGCTGAAGGAGACTGCCAGGAGGGGAGCTGGGTAGGTTCCCCCGTATAGGCAAGCGGGGGACCCCCAGCAGTGAGTCAGAAAGGCTGCCTGGAAATGGATCCAGGAATTGGGCATCAGCAGGGGGAATTGCTGAGGGGCGGCAATGGCAGGAAGAGTCAGGGAGGGGGAAACCCAGCTGGAAAAGCCCTTTCCAGCAGGAGTAGTCAGTGACAGCTGCTCAGGATCCAGGAATAAGGCTGTGCCCACTTGCTCTCCATCCGCTCTCCTGGGATTTCCTCTTGGGAGGTCAGGCCTGAGCAGAGGAGGTCAGGAGGGGGAAAATGAAATCAATCTGCCCTTTGCGATCAATGGGGACAGACTTGTCCCTTGGGCCAGGTCCCCCCGTCCCCTAAGGCTGCTGCCCCCAATGGGTCTCCATATCCATTGCTAATGGGGCCGGGACCCCTCTGCCAGCCCCCGGGGGAGAAGAAAGAGACCACAATGAGAACAGCTGAATGGTTCATATATTAAAAACTGTCAAATATACAGTATAATTGTCATACAAAATGATCATTTTAGTCCCTGTCTTTCCAAGCAGAGCAGAACGTTAGACACCCTCCTGCCAAGGAGTATCGATGGCACGCAACGGCTGCGGCCGGGAGAGGAAGGATGCTGTCTGACAGCAAGGTCTGGGGTTACCTTCCGCTTTAAAGCACATGGGCCGTGCACGAGGACCACAGATCCCCGCCTGCATGGCTCCTTCTGCATCTGAGCAACTTTAAAGACGGAGCAGGGTGCGCTGGCACTACTGTCCCAGAGGCCACCCCGAGGATGCGGCATTGCACTCTGCTCTGCTGTATGCCAGTTAGGGGTCGCCCTCAGGCTCCCGCCACAGCCCTGGAGATGCTGCTGAGAACTAAAGATGGGGACAGGGATGATGGGGCACAGGACCAGCCATTGCCTCCTGAAGTCCACTCACAGGGGAGAGACAGGGACCAGTCTTCCCTAAAGCTGCCTGCTCTCACCCTAACATGCCCCCCAAGTCCTGTCTGTGAGGCAAGTCTCTCTCCAGCACAGCCCCATGAACCTGGGGCCTATGCTCCAAGCAGTTGTCTTGGGGGGCGGGGGCATCACCCCGTCTCCCATCTTCCAGCCGCCTGCAACCAGCTCCTTTGCCGATGCCACACGCCACCGCACCCAATTCCCGCCATGCCCCCTCTGGAGCACCCTGGGCTGCAGATTCAGCAGAGGACCCCTTTGCCAGCAGCTGCATATGGGCTGCGGGGGGAGAGGCCTTTAGTGCTTGTCCTGCTCTCACTGGGCCTCTTGTCACTCCACGAACTGCTGCCCCTGGGTGTGAACCAAGCACAGTGCTGGCAGAGCAGCAAAGCAGGTCATGTGGCCACCCCAGCTCCCCTGCGGCCATGGGAGGTTGAGTCCATGGGGTGGGGGCAGAGGGCCCTGGGCTGCAAATGCAGGACAGGTGAGTTCTCTCCTGCTGGAAATTCCTGGTGGTGCTGGGGGCTGGCTGGAATCTTGTCCCCCTCCCCCACCGCCAGGGAGTCTCCAGCTGCTGCATTCCCAGAGTCCAAGCTCATAGTGGCAGGTGGGCCGTAAAGCTGGGGGATTCAGCGCCAAGCAGGGGCTCCCCCCACCCCTCCCCTCTTCAGACAGTGCTCCCTCAAAGGACTGCCCTCTGTCTGCTCTTGCCACCCTCCCTCCTTGTCTCTGTGCAGCTGGGCTGCTTCCACCCCGTTCCAGGCCTGGTGCTTTGGTTACTCCCTGTGTAGCCTGAGGAGGTGTGCCTCTAGCTGCGCCGCCCTGGGGCCCCTCCCTGCTTGCTGGCTCCCTCCTAACACGTCCATGATGGCTGCTGCTCAGCCCAGTCCCTCCCCAGGCTGATCCCCCTGCGTCGCCCTCATACTACACCCTGGTTGGGTCCCATTGCCCTTCGGCTCTGTCCCATTCTCCTGCAGAGAGGTGCAGTGGCTGCAGGGTTAGCGGGTGGCTCATTGTGAGGGGTCATAAGCATAGAAGCTGCTGGGAGCTTGTCTCCTGCTCCCCCTTCCCCTCTGGACTCCCCACCCCAGCCAAGCGTCAAAGCAAGAAGAGAAAGCAGGGAACATGCTGTCCTGCCCCCTCAGCCTCTCTCCCAAGCCCTCCCTGTACCCCCACCAGTTCTCACCAGATCCTGTGGCTCACTCCCAGCCTCCCCTCTAGGGAGGGGCACCATGGGACCCTCTAACTGATGGTATGGGGGCAGGAAGAGAACACGCTTTGCTCTGCTGAGGGCCAACCAGCCATGGTCCAAAAGGAAGATGGAAAGCTTGGAGCACTGAGCCCACGCTGGCTCAGGGAATGATACACACAGGGCAACTGGAGCTATAGGTTACAGTGGAAACTTACCGTCCAGTGTCCAGTCCTAGGCCTGAGACCCCCCCAGCGAAGGATCTGACAGTGGCCAGGTTCATGCAGTGAAAGCTCCACAGGCAACAGCTGTTGGAGACTGGGATTTTGTTGACAGACCCCCTGAAAGGACTTTTATCATCTCTTTTGTTTTGCTTTGAACCTGCTAGGCTGGTTAGAAATTCAAGGACCACAAACCAACCCAGAGAAGGCTTGTGTAGTGGGGTTTTTATACATGCCCGAAACTCAAGTGTTGATGCTGCTTCAATCAATATAGTCATTTTGCTGGCTGCTAGTCAATAATGTGCTATAAGGACCGATGGCCAACTACAGACTGAATGCCATAAAAACACGTACATAGAGGTTGAGCTAGGTGCAGCTTGAGCTGGTAATATATACCACTCGGAGTGGTATGACTCATGCATAGACTGTTCAATATCAGTGCTATGGGAGAACCAGTTTGATTAAATGTGACACATTGACCATCTTAATGCATTTAAGGACCGCTGCCTTGGGGGTTATTTTCCATATATGGACTGGTCTGAGTCAGTGCAGGTAGAAGACTATTGTGGCCAACTAAGCTCTCTGATGCAGATAAAAACCAGCATGTAGACACATATTGACCTTCACACACAGACTGTATATGGTCTACATGGAACTGACAGTCTCTAGGCCAGTGTGAATCAGTGCAAACGGCTGTCTCTAGAATGGACAGAGAGTGCTGTCTGATGTATCAGCCATAGTGTGACTTGTGCAGCTCTAAACAGATATGCAGGCAAACAGGCTGGTCAACACACACACACACCCCCACACACTCCCTCTTACATCCCCTACACAAGATCTGGATATTCACTGTACTGTATTGTACACAGCCACCACATGTCAACCATGCACAGATTCCTGTATGTACACCCTGCACACACTGAGATACACACAGTGACATAGTGACACACCTAGAGAGACCAATGTTTGCTGCAGAGTACTGTTCACACAACAAATACACAGTGTAACAGATCAGTCTCTCACACACAGAGAGAATCATGTAATGTAACAGGCTAAGGCTCCCCGCAAACCACCAACAAATATACTGGCCATCCCCCCATTAATTCCAATGTTCACTGTCATGTACTATTTACACACACACAGAGTAATGTATTGTTCACAAGCGCACTCACACCCAGAATATACAGTATAACACATCTGACATCCCCCATCCCCCAGAGATTCCTTCACACATTGCAATGCATTGCATACACATTAAAGCATACACCCATCAGTGTGCAGCACAAAAACTCAGCCATCTGTACAAACACACACACACACACGCAACCCCTATAGCTTGTCTCCTGTTTACGCTGTGACAGATATACTGCTATTAACATGAGTGACGGACCCGGGCTGGGATCCCGCTGTCATAGACGCTGCCCCCAACGCTTTCAAATGGAAGCAAGAAAAAAAAACATTGTGAAAAGCAACCCCCAAACAATTAGTAAGATACTATAATCAATTATAGTGTCCCGTGTCCTGGTCTTGCTCCTCAGGGCCTGCCCTCAGCTCATTCAGGGGAGCGGGCTAAGATGGTTAGACTCAGTGTTGCAGCACTGACCTGAGGATGCAGTGGAGGAAGCCGACCCAGGAGTACCCTAGACAGATGGTGTTGGGGAGCTAGGTGGGAGGAGGGGTGGCCAACTGACCCTTTCCTTACTCACACCCCAGTGAATCTCCATCTGCAAGTGTCAGAGGCTCCTCTTCTCTCCTGTGTAACCAGATCTCCAGAATAGGGGGTGGGAGGCGTGGTCTCTAACTTACTATTCCCTGTTGGAGCCTCAAGCCAGTTCTGCTCATTGACGATGCGTCATGTCCCGTATCCAGCCAACAGACGTAAGGAAGAAACGAAAATGAAATTACTTGGTTCTTCTCTTGGGTAGGGATGGGGGCAGCAGAGGGAAGGGAGTTGGGGACAGCTGCAGTTCACATGTTACCACTTTAAGAACTCCCGCACGTGGCTCCAGAGCTTGGTGATCCAGAGGTTGACGCCCAGATCGGTCAGGTACTGGATCTCGGGCGTCAACATCTTGCGGCACAGCTTCCGGTGCTTCTTGTTGATCTTCTTCTTCAAGTTGTAACCCAGGATGGACTTCTGGCCCAGCGGCTGCCATGGCTGCATGGAGGACTCCTGGATGGCGTTGGCATCCACAGGGCGCCCTCCATCGATGCAGATGCTCTTCATCTTCTCATTCTCCTGGTGCAGCTCGGCCACATCCCTGGCCATTCGCTCCCACCCATAGGCCTCCACCTTGCGCCAGAAGGTGGCATTGAAGTAGCGGTAGAGCTTGGCGTCAATGAGGTTCCAGTAGGTGGCCTTCTCATAGAGCTCACCCGTCATCTTGGAGACAGTGGAGTCCTTGCGGGCGTTGAGCTTGAAGTAGAGGATGTCCTCCAGCTCCCAGCACAGCAGGTCCTTCAGGAGCACTAGGGACTCATCAAAGTACTCCAACAGCATGACCAGATGGAAATGTTGGTCGATCTCCTGGATGTACTGGTCCACCAAGGGGCTGTTGGCATTCATGTTGTTGTCATAGCCCAGGTCAAAGAAGAGCAGGTTCTGGAGGTAGTGAGCGTTGAACCCGTTAGGGTCATAGTAGTGCCATGGATCACGGAGGAATTCTGCCAGCTTGTCCTCGCCTTGCAGCTTCCAGGTGAGGGGGATGATGCGCCCAAAGTAGTGGAAGGAGGACTCAAAGAGGTAGGCGGGGTCCCGCAGCACTGTCAGAAAGATGGTATCAGCTGGCAGTAGCTTGCGCACCTCCTGGTACTGGAAGCGCATATGGTTGCAAATGATATTGAAGCACATGCCGGGCTGGTAGTCCTGGACCTGGCTGCGTTCAAAGTAGGAGGGGTAATAGAAGTCATTGCGGCCATTGGGGAATGCGAACTTGAGGCGGTGCTTCTCGCCGAAGCGGAAGAGGATATTTAGAATGGTGCTGCTGGCTGTCTTGTGTGTCTTCATGAACATGATGTCCAGCTTGGGCAGACATCCTTGCCCCGGGGGACTGTGGGTGCTGTTTGCTGCACCTGGCACCCTGGCCTGGGCAGGATAGGAGGAGCAGGAGTAAGGGATAGGAATCCTGGAGGAAAGGAAAGAACAGGCACATCCATGAGGGCTGGATCTCTGCGCTGGCCTTGCTCAGCCACCACGATCATAGAATCATAGAATATCAGGGTTGGAAGGGACCTCAGGAGGTCATCTAGTCCAACCCCCTGCTCAAAGCAGGACCAATTCCCAAGTAAATCATCCCAGGCAGGGCTTTGTCAAGCCGGAAGGAGATTCCACCACCTCCCTAGGTAACCCATTCCAGTGCTTCACCACCCTCCTAGTGAAAAAGTTTTTCCTAATATCCAACCTAAACCTCCCCCACTGCAACTTGAGACCATTACTCCTTGTTCTGTCAACTGCTACCACTGAGAACAGTCTAGATCCATCCTCTTTGGAACTCCCTTTCAGGTAGTTGAAAGCAGCTATCATATCCCCCCTCAGACCAGACCAGCCATGAGGGCCAGGCAGAAAAGAGCCATTCCTTTCCAAGGGAGTTCAGCTCTGGGGAAAGGTGCTGGCTCAAGGGCTCTGGGCACAAGAGTCCTCTCTTGATCCCCTGAATGGGTACAGCACAGACAGCCACATGGCAGGTTCCCCGGCACACACTGCCCGCACTGACAGACCAGCTGTGGGGTGGAGAGGAAACCAGGCTCTGTATAGTTGACAGGGCCTCTTCCTGAAGTACCTGGGCTGGGTCCATGGCCCATTCAGTGCTCAGCCTCTCTGTTATCATTGCCAGCAAGAGGGCCAATGAGTGCAGGGGTGATGTGCACACCTGCCCAGCAGGAACTAGCCTGACATCACTGTAAGTAACCCTGGCCACTGTACATCCATCAGATGAGAGCTGCGTTAGTCTCTATGGGGGGATGCTGAAAAGGAGTTAGGCTCCTAACTTCCATTCCACCGTGCTGTCCTGGGCTTGACTAGAAACAATGGCTGGGGTGAAAGGCTCCACGCTCCATTCCCAACTCCTGAGCCAACCAATCCCCAGGAGCCGACATCCTTCGGTACGAATGTAGTGAACCAAACTCTGCCTTCAATTGCCACCAATCTGAAGTCACAATTTGGCCCCAAGATTTGAAAGCAAGTTTGTCCTTTCAGAGAATCACGGCAGCCTGAGGCCAGCACCTGCCAGGAACAGCAGGGTAAACAGCAAAGTCAGTGAGGATTTCACTGGAGTTACTACGGATTTACACCAGGGTGACACAAACTGGAATCCAGCCCCTTCCCTTCACTCCGCTGCTGAGGTGCTTTTCTGGCTGGATCACGGGACCTTTGACACTTGCAATAACTGAAGCTGTTGGATTTTGTCTCCTCTCCCCTTCACCAGGTTAAATCTGTGTGTGGCAGCAAACACCCGCTCATCAAGTCTAATCTTCCTTATTCTGAATCTATCTATTGATCTATGTAAAGAGTTTTATCCTGCTGCCTATCACCGTAGTATCCAAGCACTTTCCACATAAAATCACTAGCAATAGCAAAGTCCCTGGTGGACTTATTAGTCTCTGAAACCTCTCCTTGGAGTAGTCGTTTTTTAAAGTGGGCAAGCCCCGCTGATCCCTGCTGCCGGGAGGGGCCGGGGGGGACACACAGGGTCAGACTAAACCTCACCCTATCCCCGTATTGATTAAGAGGTGGGGACCAGGCTGTCTTTCATTGGAGAGGGAATGTTCCTTAGTCTTCAATGCGGCCCCATATTGGCTCTAATGCTGCAATAGTGCAGCCCTTATTGTTCCATCTCTGTGACAGCCCCCTCCATTTACCCCAAGGTGAAGGAGGAGTTTGTCCCTGTGAATCGGCAGGAGCCTGGAGGTTTTCACCGTTCTGCCATTTCTGCACTGCCAATTGTCCTTTCCCTTCCCATCGCGATATAGAGCATGTGGCCCTGAGCGCAGAGACCTGCCCGGGGAACGGCTTCTAGGATGGCGATAGCTCAGGCTCAGTGTGAGTAGCCCAAGGACTGGGGAGGACATTATGATTGGAGGCTGTAATGGATGGGGCTATCGCTACACTGGTGTGTGTACAATCTGGTGGCTGTTCCCATGTGCAATGAGACTGAGACTGGTGCATCTCAGCCCAATTCTAACACACGCATCCCCATCACAAATGCCTCCACCATGACTGGCACCCACTGGCCTCTTGTCGGCAGCCTCAAGTTAATTTAGTGAGACAGGAGATTGAACTATCCTTTAGAAGGGACCCGGCCAAGGCAGGACTGTCCATCTACCACTGTCCACCATGGCTAGATAATAATTATACATCAATATCAAGCTCTAATGCAGCACTTTGCATCTGTAGCTCTCAAAGGTATGGAAGTGAGAAAGCACACAGGTGGGTAATGGCTCACAGATCAGAATGGCCCATCACAGGCAGAGGCAGCTGAGCAAGCCTCTCCAGCCAAGGGGGCTCAACTTTGCCATGGGAGCTCTTCCAGCCATTGGCTCTCTTCTGAGAACTGGGGTGTTGTTTTGTGACATTTATCCTTGTCCAGTAGAACTGGACTGAGTCCCCCAGTTGACTTCACACAGACGACAACTTTCAGGATGACTACACTACAAACCCCCCCAGTGGCAGCGAGTCTCAGAGCCCAGGGCAGCCAACTCGGGCTTGTGAGACAAGGTTAACAATAGCTGTGTAGGTGCCAGGGCTCGGACTGGAGCCCAGGCTCTGAAACCCGGCCAGGAGTGTGTGTCTCAGAGCCTGGGCTCCAGCCCCAGTGGGAACATCTGCACTGCTATTTTTAACCCTGTGGCGTGAGCCTGAGTCAGTGGACGTGGGCTCTGAGACTCACTGCTGGGGGGTTTTCTTTGCAGTGTCGATGTACCATATCACTCCTTGATTGAATCCACCTGGGCTGGAGCTGACCCAATGTGGCTCCGTACCCCACCTGCCAATCCCCTGAGCCAGCCCTTGTCCACCCCTGGAGCCAGCATTTCTGAGCGGCCGGAAAGGAGCTGTTCTAGAGAAAGCCCAGACCCCATGGCAAGGAGGGACTCACTCACTCCATCATGCTGACTTGCAGGGGTGGAATCACGTAGGAGTACAGCAGTAGCATAAAGCTGGTCAGGACAGTTCCCAGAACAAGCCCCTTGCACATGGACCTCCAGTGCTTCTTCTGCAGCATTGCGGTCACCTGCAAATCCCAGAGAGACGAGCAGTTAGGGAGGCAGACAACCAGAGAGAAGCCTTCAGTATCTCCCTAGAGACAGACAGAGAGAGCGAGAGGATGGCCAAGGTAGAAGGGACGGGAGGGAAAGGGAGAGGAGATGTGGAGGACACAAACATCCCTGGGAAGAAAAGAGTTCTGATTCCTAGATTATTACCCCAGCAGGGGCAACTGTGACCATCTAGTGTGAGCTTCTGCATAACACAGGCCAGAGAACTTCCCTGAATCCATCCTACCTGAACTAGAGCAGAGCTTCTACAAAAACAGCCAATCTTGCTTTAAAAATTGCATGCGATGGAGATTCCACCACAACCCTTGGTGAACTGAGCCAATGGTTAATTACCCTCACTGCCCCTTATTGCTAGTCTGAGCTCTTCTGAAAATCTGGCCCATTGTTGTTAATGTGTGCGTGGTTAGAAGTTGTGGGTTTATGCTAATGTTTCGGTGCAGCAGCCGGAGCAGTGGAAAGGAGCATCAAAGAAATGAAAGTATCAGGGGGTAGCCGTGTTAGTCTGTATCTACAAAAACAACAAGGAGTTTCACTCTATGCATCCGAAGAAGTGAGGTTTTTACCCACGAAAGCTTATGCCCAAATAAATCTGTTAGTCTTTAAGGTGCCACCAGACTCCTTGTTGTTTTTAAAGAAATGAAACAAAGGCATATGTGAAGAAATGGGTACATTCTCTCTCGCCTATGTTATACTACAGATCAGACCAGATAACCACGGTCCCTGCTAGCCTTAAAAATCTATCACTCCATTTGGGATGGACTGTCTGTACACAGAGATGTTAATTTACTGATCTATGGCAACTAGGAAACCAACCAGTAGAGTTAGTGCCACTTGACATACCCAGATGATGGGTTCACCAGAAATGCCTAGAGACAGAGAGGGTTAGTGTTATTTCCTATGGCAGGGGAGGCCAACCTGAGCCTGAGAAGGAGCCAGAATTTACCAATGTACATTGCCAAAGAGCCACAGTAATACGTTAGCAGCCCCCGCATCAGCACCCCCTCTCCACTCCCAGAGCCTCCCGTCCACCAGCAGCCCCGCCGATCAGCACCTCCCCCTCCCTCCCCGCACCTCCCGATCAGCTGTTTCATGGTGTGCAGGAGGCTCTGGGGGGAAGGGGGAGGAGTGAGGACATGTCAGGCTCCGGGGAGGGGGCGGGAAGGGGTGGAGTGGGGGCTGGGCCTGTGGCAGAGCCACGGGTTGAGCAGTGAGCACCCCCTGGCACATTGGAAAGCTGGCGCCTGTAGCTCCAGCCCTGGAGTTGGTGCCTATACAAGAAGCCGCATGTTAACAGCTTGTAGTGAATCCATATTGGTTGACCGGGAGGTGGGCGGGCTTACCCGCCCACTGCTAAAGGCCCCTCCCCCAGCCTAGCGGGAGGGACCACTGGACCCAGAAACCAAGTAATTCCTTGGGACAACTGATAAAAAAAACAGGGAGTGAGGTGACGGTTAAAGGTTCAAAATCAGGGAACCAAATGGGGACACCGAGCAAAGAACCCCGGACAGCGCCCACTGCTCCTCAAAGGTGGTAAGGGAGCCAGCGGACGCTGCCCAGTGGAACTCCGCCCGGAGACGTGAAACCAAAAAATTACGGAAGTAGGCCCCACAGTCGCAGAGCACCCCCTCGTTCAACATCTTCTCCCTGGTATTATAGATGGTGAGCTTAGCTAAGGCCAGGAAGAGGTTGACGAGGAGGTCTCGCGACTTCGTGGGGCCACGGATAGGGTGTGCATAAATAAACAGGTGTGGGGAAAAGTGCAGCCAGAACCTCAACAAGAGGTTCTGGAGGAGCTGAAACAGGGGCTGCAGCCTGGCGCACTCGAGGTATGTGTGCGCCAGGGTCTCCCGTAGGCCGCAAAATGGGCAGGCCTCGGGAATGGGGGTGAACCGCGCTAAGGACACGCCCGTGCTCACGGCTCCGTGAAGGAGCCGCCAACCAATGTCCCCGGCGGGCCGTGGAACCAAGGTGGAATAAACACTGGCCCACCGGGGTTTCTCACCCTCCACAGGTAGTACATAGTCCCGCCATTTGGTATCGGGGCGGGACACGAGGGTGAGAAAATGTAATGTGTGGAGCACGAGCGTGTACAGGTGGTCTCTAGGCGCGGTTCGAAACCGGACCGGCTGCAAAGCGTGCAGCCGGCTCGGGTTATGGGATCGGGGGAGCCGGGGGGACTCACGGAACAGGGGCCCAATACAAAGATCCGGAGGGCCCGGGGTGAGGGGTGGGCGGGGAACGCCCTCCCGTAGGGCCCTCCACAGGAATTCAAGAGCGGGAGGAGACAATGCAGCGCCCACCTCCTGGAGTACACGCAGAGGGGTCGTAAGGGTGGAGAGCCCCATGCGCCGACCAAGCGCGCGGGGATCCACCCAGTCCCCTCTGGCGTAGTCCAGGAGGTCTCCGACCCTGGTGGTTTCCGCCAGGACCAACCTCCGTCTCACCGAGGGAGACTCCGCCACCTGCACACGGAGATCGGGATTGTGCAGCAGGGGCTCCGCGAGGAGATCCGCGCCCTCGGTGGCCACAGTGGACCTGGTCGCTGAAAAAAGCTTCCAGGTCCGGAGAAGGTCCTGGTAGAAGACCGGCAGCTCCGAGAGGTCTCGCGGAAGACCTCTCGGGTGAAGGAAGAAGAGCTGCCGGTCGTATCGGAGTCCTCGGAGACGGCGGAGGAAGGCATGCGCTAACGTGCTCCATGCCGGACTACCTGCACCATAAAGGAGCCGCTGCAGGGCCTGGAGGCGGAAGACATGGACCTGGCTACGAAGGCAGACCAGGTCCTGTCCCCCCTCCTCCAGGGGGAGACTCAAAACCCCTGCAGCGACCCAGTGCAGTCCCGGCCAGAAAAACTCCAGGGCCATCCTCTGGAGCCTGGCCAGGATCTCCGGGGCCGGGCTCAGGGTGTTGAGCCGGTGCCAGAGCATGGAGAGAATGAGCTGGTTCAGCACCAGCGCCCTCCCACGCAGGGAGAGACACCGGAGCAGTCCAGTCCATCTCCGCAACCGCTCACCCACTCTGGCCACTAAATCCTGCCAGTTCTCCGGCGGAGAAGGATGCGTGGCGGAAAGATAAACGCCAAGATAGAGCAGCGGACCCGCGCTCCACCGGATGGCTTGAAGCGCGGGCGGGAGGGAGCTGGCCTGCCACCCGTCCCCGACCACCAGGCCCGAGCTCTTGACCCAGTTAACCCGGGCGGAGGAGGCCGCCGAATAAACGGTCTGGCAGGCCTCCACCCGCACCAGATCTTCTGGGTCCTGGACCACGAGGAGCACGTCGTCGGCATACGCCGACAGGACCAGCCGCATCTCCGACTCCCGAAGCGCCAACCCCGCCATCCTCTGACGGAGGAGGCAGAGGAAGGGCTCGATCGCCAGAGCGTACAGCTGGCCCGAGAGGGAGCACCCTTGACGCACTCCCCGCCCGAAGCTGACCGGCTCGGTCAGGGCCCAGTTGAGCCGGACCAAACACTCCGCTTCAGCGTACAGCACCCGGAGAAAGCCTACAAACTGGGGCCCGAAGCCGAAAGCCCACAGGGTGCCCAGGAGATACCCGTGGTCCATCCTGTCGAACGCCTTCTCCTGGTCCAGGGACAGGAGGGCGAACGACAGACCATCCCTACGCCCCAGCTCTAAAAGGTCACGGACCAGGTATAGGTTATTAAAGATACTCCGGCCCGGGACGGTGTAGGTCTGGTCAGGATGGACCACGTCCGCCAGCACGGACCCCAGTCGCAGCGAGATAGCCTTCGCTACGACCTTATAGTCCGTGCTGAGGAGCGAGAGGGGACGCCAATTCCGTAAATCGCGAAGGTCCCCCTTCTTCGGCAACAGGGCGAGCACAGCTCGCCGGCACGAGAGAGGGAGGACCCCGCTTAGCAAGGACTCGGCCCAGACTTTGACGAGGTCTGGGCCGAGGACATCCCAGAACACGCGGTAGAACTCCACGGTCAGCCCGTCCATGCCCGGCGATTTGTTGGTGGGCATGAGCCGGAGGGCTTCCGAGAACTCGGCTAAGGAGAGAGGCAACTCCAGCCGGTCTCGGTCGCTCGCGCTGACCGTCGGGAGCCCGGTCCAGAGCACCCTGCGGGCCTCGGCGTCAGTCGGATCCGGGGAAAAAAGAGCGGCATAGAAGGCCCTGGCCCTTCCACGCATCTCCTCCGGATCCGTGAGGGGGGAGCCGTCCTCCGCCAGGAGGCAGGTGACATGCTTTTTGGCCCCCCTCCTTTTCTCCAGGGCAGAGAAGAAGCGGGAGCCGCGATCCATCTCCCGAAGGAGACGGATGCGGGATCGAACGAACGCGCCCCGGGCCCGGTGGTCTTCCAGGGCCCGGAGCTCCTCCCGCTTCTCCCGGTACTCCTCACAGAGGGGTGGATCCCCGGGGCTGGAGGCTAGACGCCTCTCCAGCTCCAAGACCTCCCGCTCCAACTGCCCCATCAGCGCACTCCTCCGCCGGCTGGCGCCCCGGGCGTAGTTCCGGCAGAAGAGCCGTGCGTGGACCTTCCCCACATCCCACCACCGCCGCGCCGAGGGAAAGGCGCACCGCTGCTCCCGCCAGGTCAGCCAGAACTCCCGGAAGGTAGCCACGAAGTCCACGTCCTCCAGCAAACTATTATTAAAATGCCAATAGGCCGGCCCTGGCCGCTCAGAACTGAGAGAGGCCGTCACGGACACCAAATGGTGATCCGAGAACGGGGCCGGCCGGACGCTGGAGGCATGGGCCCGTGCCAGATGAAGGCGGGACAAATAAATCCGGTCCAACCGGGAGTGGTGCGACCGGTCATCCTCCACCTGGACATAGGTGAAGGTGGTATCGTCGTCCGGGTGGTGGTCGCGCCAGACGTCCACCAGGGAGTGATGGTCTACAATCTCCCTGAGGACGCCCGCGGCCGCCTGGGAAGACTCAATCCCGGAGCGGTCCCGGTCCTCGAGGGTGGTGTTAAAGTCCCCGCCCA